CCAAAAATTTGGTTTCGATCGGCCAATATATGGGTATTTTGGAACGTGTGACGGACTGACTTCACAGAAATTTATGAACAGATAGAAAATTCTTGTTAAAACGGGAAAAAGAACTGCCTCGGGTGAGGATCGAACTCACGACCTTCAGATAGCTCTCTTCGTTCGATTTTGATTATGAGACTGACGCGCTGCCTACTGCGCTACCGAGACACCTATTAAGTGCGTGTCAGTGCAGACCTCGCCGAAGCAGTTCATTCTCCGCTGAAGTTCCTCCGCTGAGTGGACTGACAGTGTTACTTCTTCCGTAAAAGTGAAATCGTACAGGCATTTCATATCTGAATTAAGGATTTCCTTCTCAACATGGAAAACTTGAAAAGCTTTCCATCCGACGTCCAGCGAAAGCAGATGTCTTCATTGGAAGATCTTAATAATTAATTGATTCGTTTTTTTTGTTCGTTTTTTTTTTTTTTTTTCCTACGGCTTATCAACCCTTTGCAGGTTATTTAAAGCCAGAAAAGATTTTTAGATTGCAAGAAGTTTTTTTTGTTGTTGAAATAATAATTTTTTAGGAATATAAATCATGGCTGTGGGTGAAGAGATGAGTTTTATACTTAATCAGAATTTGAGAAACAAGTAAGAAATTATACTGTGAATAAAAAGTGGGGGAACAATTCTATATTACAATCAATATATAAACAGAGCCCTCACTTTGTGGCTACGATATTTTTTTTTTATAAATTTATATTCCAGAGAATAAATAAATCTAACAGACTTCACTGTGTAGCTAATCAGTATTTGATTCATTGATTCGATTTTTATGATTTATCAACCTTTGTCATGTTATCTAAAGCCAGAAAACAGTTTTTGAATGTAAGAATTTTAATTTTTTAGAGATAATAATAATTTAGTAATACAAGTCTTACTAATTAACCCATAGCTGGGGGGAAAGAGATGGATTCATACCTAATCAGATATTGATAAACAACTAAGAAATTATAATATGGATATAAAGTCGGGGTTCAATACTCTATTGCAATCAATATATATAAACTGATGCATTTATATTCCAGAGAATGTGAATTAATCTAAAAGTATAGCTAATTAGTATTTGATTCAGACCTCGCCGAAGCAGTTCATTCTCTGCTGAAGTTCCTCGGCTGAGTGGACTGACAGTGTTATCTTCTTCCGTAAAAGTGAAATATATAAGTGAAATATTTCATCTGAATTAAGGATTTCCTTCTCAACATGGAAAACTTGAACAGCTTTCTATCCGACCTCCAGCGAAAGATGATGTCTTCATTGGAAGATCCCAATAATCAATTGATTCGCTTTTTTTTCTCCTACGGCTTATCAACCATTTGCAAGTTATTTAAAGCCAGTTGTGATTGGGTCATTTGGTATGATATAAAAAGGTACCGAAAATCAGGTAAGTAAATTTCTTGGACACATCACCATCTCAGAGCTACAAAAGATTACTTTGTGTGGAACTGAACATCAGTCAGTCAGTTATGGGCCAGGCAATCATGTATCTTTCAATACATGACTGACGAAGCAGATTTTTCCCGCAGTAAGTTGCCATTTCTTTCTGCGGTCGACCAGTTGCCATCCAAGGCTATAGAACCCAGTCTGTCCTGCTATTTACCGATAGCTGGTGGGAGAAGAAGAGGATTCATACCTTTCCCAAGGGTATTAGCACGTAAGTGAAAGTTATGGATTCGACTGAAATTCGAACTCGCTTCTCCGATTTCTCAATCCGAGCCGCTATCCATTACTCTTTTTTCCTGCAGTAGATTGATATTTCTTTCTGCGGTGGACCAGTTGGATAGCCAAGGCTATAGAACCCTATTTACCCATAGGTTCCTCAATCCGAGCCGCTATCCATTACTCCTCCACCACTGGAAAAGCAGGATGATGATGATGATGATGATGATGATGATGATGATGATCTGCACCTATCATCTACAAAACCCTCTCCATTTAAACGAAACGTCCCAAATTTGCATTGATAACTCCCGTACAATGTCCTTTTTACTCATAGACACTGGAGGGGGCTAATTAGTTCCTTAAAATTACTCTATAGCAAGATGATACCACGCACAGTAAATAAATTAAATCCAACAAAATCCTAGTTGGTAAAGACTTGGTAAAGGGGACATGCTTAACTGGTTAAGTCTTTTACCTGGGTTATGAGTTAAAGGAACGATTTTCTTCCATAGCTATTGGACGTATTACACAAAGTATTTACTGAATATGTGACTGATCCTCATGAGCACAATCTTTGTGTTTTTTGTTTTTTATCACAGTGATGTTCACCTTGTACAACAACCACTCGAGGTAGACAGTTGCAGCTTACGAAGTACAGTTTATGCGGATATGTGTGGAAGATAACGGTTGAGCCTAGAATTGAACAGGTTAAGATTGTAGTGATCGAGGAAGCATCTTCTTGGGAGTCGGTTCCACAAAGAGTGAAGTTTAAAACTGGGTGTCCTAAGGAATGTAGTTCGCCTGAGCACTTTTCATGGAAGTAGCGAGAGAGCAGCGAGAGTCAGAGAAGCGGTTTGCAGGAAGAGGCTGCTCGAGTGGAACTTACATCTTACCAATGGAAAGCGAAGGGAATGAAGGCGGTTAGCTACAATGGGCGTGATATTGTGGGTCCTAGACGGGAAGGTTAGAACTTTTGGTCCTAAGGAATGAAGTTCGCCCGAGCACTTTCCATAGAAGTAGCTATAGTGCAGTGAGAGTCAGCTCCAAAGAGAAGTGGTTCGCAGAAAGAGGCTACTCAAGTGGAACTTACTTCTCACTAACGAAAAACAAAGATAGTTCGTTACAACTTGAGAAGCATGGCGGGTCATAGCCGTGAAGGTTATAACTGCTGGAACTAAGGAATCTAGTTCTTCTGTAACACTTTCCTTGAAAATAGCAATGGAACAGAGAGGAGCTTGCAACGTTTTGTCTGTGAGGAAACGGGTTGCAGGGTGGAAAATAATTCATCACCTACAGCAATACATTTTATCTGTAGTTGAAAGCATACAATTGCCTTCAAAATATTTAGATTTCGGCATTAAATAAGCCATAGTGTTCATAAGTAGCTAAACAAAAGCAACAAAACCAACCAACTTGTACAAGGTCCGGGAACCACTCCAGGTAGAATGTTACAAAATAAGAAGTACAGATTATGCGGGTATATGGGTAAGATGACGGTTAACCCTAAAATTGAACATCTAGGAAGTATCCTCAAGGGAGTCGGTTCCACAAAGCAGCGGCTCGTGAGAAGAAGCTGCTGGAGTGGCAGTTGCATCTCACCAATGTAATATGAAGAGAATGAGAGTGGTTCGCTAAATGTGCATGGCATAACCGGTCTTAGCCGTGAAGTTTAGAAATGGTGGAATTAAGAAGTGTAGTTTGGATGAGCACTTTTCATGGAAGTAGCGAGAGAGTAGCAAGAGTCAGCTCCACGAAGAAGCAGTTCCCGGGAAGAGGCTGCTCGAGTAGAACTTACTTCTCACCAATGAAAAACGAAGGTAGTTCGTTACAACTTGCGCGGCATGGCGGGTCTTAGTCGTGAAGCTTAGAACTGCTGGAACTAAGGAATCTAGTTCGTCTGAACCGCTTTCCACCGAAATAGCAATAAATCAGAGAGAGGCTTGGAATGTTTTGTCTGTGAGGAAACGGGTTGCAGGGTGGAAAATAATTAACTTCAGAATATTCAGATTTCTTCATTAAATAACCCATTGTCTTAATAGGTCGGTAAACAAAACCAATCAACTTGTACAAGGCTCGAAAGTCACTCGAGGTAGAGGGTTACAGAGTAAGCTACTCGGGGTAGAGATTTGCAGCGTAATAATTACATCTTATGCGGATATGTGGAGAAGATAACGGTTGACCCTAGAATTGAACAGGTTAAGATTGTAGTGATCGAGGAAACATCCTCTTGGGAGTTGGTTCCACAAAGAGTCTTAGCCGTGAAGGTTACACCTGATGCTCCTAAGGAATGTAGTTCACCTGAACACTTTCCATGGAAGTAGCGAGAAAGCAGCGAGAAGCTTGCAATGTTTTGTCTGTGAGGAAAAAAGTTGCAGGATAAAAAATTATTCATCACCTACAGCAATACATTTTATCTGTCGTTGAAGGCATGCAATTGCGTTCAAAATATATTTAGTTGAAGCCATAAAATTCTGTTCAAAATATTTTGATTTTGGCATTAAATAACCCATAGTCTTAATAGGTCGTTAAACAAAACCTACCAACTTGTATAAGGCCCGGAAGCCACTCGAGTAGAGTGTTACAGAGTAAGAGGGTACAGAGTAAGCCACTCAAGGTAGAGGGTTACAGATTATGCGGATATATGGGGAAGATGACGGTTAACCCTAAACTTGAGCAGGTTAAGATTATAGTTACCGAGGAAGTATCCTCAAGGGAGTCGGTTCCACAAGATCAATTACCTACAAGGCCGTTTCGGCACTTTCAAACGCTGTCAAGACTAACTGTCGTAGTTTTTCGTCTGTCATATATGACAGACGAAAAACTACAAAGATTAGTTAAAGAACTTGCAAAGATTAGTTAAAGAACGTAGATTACTTTTTCTTCAAAATTACGGAGCTATCAGCGGGGATCGAATTCACTATCTGTCAGTGATAAAGAACCAGACTAGCTCGTTGACCATTAACCAATCTTAAGAAGACGTCTTCAGGTCGTGGTATAAAATATTTATACCACGACCTGAGGACGTCTTCTCATTTTATGATAAAGCATAGACAGAAACACACACATACACACTCAAATACGTATAAATGGGAACGCATACACGTACGCACACACAGGAGCATGCGCATAAAAGATACGAACGCATACCCACACATCCACATGCACACAAACTCGTACCCTATTTATTCAATTTACGTAGACATTTTTAACATATCAAATTTCTTTCAATAAGAACAGAATGAGAAAACTCGATTTTAAAAATAGTACATAAAGATTACTGAGAAAATATTCGCTAG